CCCCAAAACCCCAAAACCCCTGAGAGAATAGTTTAGAAAAGCAAACTGTAATAAAGATTAATGGAAATTAATTATTACCACAATTTTATACTCAATATCGTAATAGATTTAACTTATTTTCAAGTCTTTTAAGTTCATAAGATCTAGCTTCTCTACTATCAATGATAACACTGAAATTCTTGAGTAAAGGATATCCGTAAGCTGCATTCTCACACACTTCATCAATATACTTGTTAAGACCATAGTGCATAAGATTCATTCTTTCCATCAAAGTATGATAATAGAAAGGGAAGTATAAAACTCTAAGCAAGGCCATGGCATAGCTAGTTCTGTCAAATGGCTTCACTTCTTTCTTTATGAGATTTATTAAGCAGGATTGCTACTTTTTATGGACTATTAGTCTACTAAAGAAATTGAAAAATATGGTAAAGCCTATTATTGTATTTCCCGCATACTAGTAGATCTAATCGAATTGAATCTCATGGAATAACTTGTCTTCACAGACCTGCCACTCATTAAGGAATGAGATGCAGTTTACAAAGATAGGTATCTCCATGCTTAGGGTTATAGTCTCTCTAATTTTATGCTCTAAACTTGTTGAGTCCTTCCATATAGCGAAATTTATGTTGATAATTTTAATTCTCTCGCTGGTAAACCCATGATCATCAGTGAGACCTGGGAATATCTTGCCTAGTTCTTCGCTAAGCTTCTACAGCTTATCTAGACTTGAGTCTACTAGGATTAGAGAATAATTGTACTTAGCAAACAGTTTAGCTGTTTGCTAGCCCATGTGATTAGTAGCACCATATATTAGAACAAATTTTTCTTTATTCTACGTCACTAAGAAGGGATCTTTCGTCAGTAATCTATGACTCCTTTTAAAGATAAAGTAAAACAAACGCTTTAAAGTAGGATAGAGCAAGTCACTGTAAGATTTGTTAAGGAGTTTTACCAATTGAACTGTGCCTAGGATTACTAATAAGTAAGAGAATAGAGGATTAACAGGTTGATTGTTCTTTTTCAGCTCAACTGAAATGCTAGAAATATGTGATATTAGTTATTTCAATTTTTCCATTTTAAATTATTAAGTTATTATTAAATTTTGTAAAATTGCTTTATTTAATTATCATGGGGTTTTGGGGTTTTGGGGTTTTGGGG